GTGCACTGCCTCGCCCCTCTTTTTTGAAAAAATTTCAGATTTTGAGCTGAGCGTAGCCGAATGTAGAAGAAAGTGTGGGCTACAAAATGAGACCACTCTCAGCACTCCACGACCTTTCTTCAAAAGCTTACGATAAATATTCTCATACATTCTAATTTACATACCAGACATAACGTTAATATATAGTGAACGGCAGATACAAAACTCGACTGAAACTGTCGTCAGTCCGGTGCTTATCGTTCATTTTGTTGACAAGACTGATGAAAATACCTCGAATTGTCGACTCAGTTCATACGACTGATCAAACGACGTTAACTGACTGATAAATCCACAAAGAACCTACCACATTACATAAAACTGTTGGCGTAAGGAGGGAGACAAACATTTTCTGGTGCAGTTCCGTACGTTGAACCTACTGATGAAAGTTACAAGACCCGAAACTCTTCGTGAAAGTTAATAGACTCGATAACGAGACTCGAGTCTATAACCTTTCTAAAGCGATCTATTTAAACGTTAGTTACTTTTTAGAGTTTCCGAAAGACTAGTTTTTCAGAAAACCAGATCGTCAAAAGGCTATGGGGAGTCTCATGGTCATACTCGGAATGAGCGTGGTCGATAACCTACAACCCACTGGAATTCGATCAAAAAGTGGGGGACGTTCCCTCGTTAGTATCACGATCTCGACACAGTTTTTCTCTTTTAACACAATTTCTTATTTCGTACCGTCATTCCTCTGATTTTTTTCGACGGTCTTTCCGACTGATTAAACCTGACTTCGAAATTTCTTCCTCTGTCCCGAAGCTTCTGTAGATTGATGAACGATGTCCTGCTCATGTCGTCAGAACTTCTCGGTATCTCTTCTGACTTTTGTGTTCCACATTGTTGTGAAACTTAATCAGCGTCGATATCGAGCTTAATTTCTTATGCTTCAAGATGCTAATAAACAATTTGGCTCGCCATGATGATGCAGCTGATAATTAAAATGAATACAACTGTTACACAATAATACCAAAATATGAGAAAGATCCGAGGGTTAAGAGCTATATGGAATTAAACGTTGTGTGCTATAGGACAGCCGTTTGTTGACTGTCGTTTGTTTCAATTTCTATTTGAAAGAATCTATAGACATAGTTTTATTGTGTCATGTTGAGAATGTCGAAGGACGGCTTACGAACAATTAATGCACCGTATGTTCATGAGAGGATTTTTGAGAAATGTACAAGAATTACTGATGATCATATGATTCGAAACCTTCTGAATTGGAAGCACAAAAAATCGATGTCGTTCATCACAAAAGTTATTCCGTCTCGGAGCATATTTTGGCTCTTTGTCTTTGATCTAAACACATACAAACAAAAGTAAATCGAGATTCTGGAAACCCGAAGAATTCTCTACAACCTTTTTATACTAAGCTTTTTGATCCAAAGTCTCACTTTAGAGTAATACTGAAAATTGATAAAGGCCTGAAAACAAAATTTCCATTTTTTGTTAGTCCGTCAGCATCTCTCTTTTCGCACTAACTTTTGATCAATGCAATCAATCAAGCTGCAGTTTTCAGAGCTGAGAGAACTAGTAGACTTATATTAGAAAAAGAATTTTCAACCTAACTATTGCGTGGTTCGGCAAATAGAGGTAGCAAAACACGAAAAAATATCATTCCGACCCTCGTGTCCGAGCCGTAAAGTGAGTAAAGTAGTAAAAGGAGTAAAGGGAATAAAAGAAGTAAAAGGAGTAAAAGAAGTCAAAGGAGTAAAGGGACTAACAGACTAAAAGGAGTAACAGACTAAAAGACTAAAAGGAGTAAGAGAGTAAAAGGCCAAAGGGAGTAAGATACTAAAGGCAGTAAAATACTTCAAGGACTAAAGCTGCGACGGATATAAAAGTACGAAGGTATAATAAGAGTAATCAAGGAGTAAGACACTAAAAGCAGTAAAACTCTTAAGGGACTAAAACTGTGACAGATATAAAAGTACGAGAGTATGGTAAGACAAATTAGCTAAAATAAGGTCTGTAGGTTTGTATGTAAGCTAAAAACATCCCGGGACAAACTCTGTACCATCTCCCAGCCCTCCTTAGCTCAGTTAATGAAAAAGTTAACATGGTTTTTGTTAGTCACGAATAGGAATGTTCGGTTATCGATTCTCACTAAGAACCGAAACCGCGGTTCTCTTGTCTTCGGTTCTTCATCGGGAACCGGAGCCGCAGACGGTTCGGTACTTGTACAGATTGATCACACCCCTTCCGCGCTAGTGTACATTACAGCCATATAACAGAACAGGAAAAAAAAAGCTATTGGTTAAAAAGTATATATAATTAGATGAACGGTATAAGGAATTATGAACGCGAATAATTGATGACTCTAGTTAGCAAGTTATGTTAGATGAGGCTGACAGATCCAGTAAAGGTCAGTCAAAGGATTAAATATGAAAGAGAGTATTAGTTAATTTACTATATACAGAAAAAAGAAAAAACACATAAAATCAACAGCAGGATACCTACAACAAAAAGAAACAGAAAAGATAGAACAAAGAAAATACGAAAAACCGTTTAATTTAGTTCAGTGGGGTACAGTTCATTAATTTGTTGTACCAGATTTTCAAACGGCCTATCTTCAAATTCTCTTCGCCACATAAACTCGGTGAGATATGTCTGTAAGGGCGTTATAGACATACCCATCATATTCTTCTTTTTTCTTTTCACAACCATCAGTATTCTAGGTATGTACCGCAGTTTGTGGATCCACGAAATGTAACGAATGTTTCACTGTGTCATGTTCGTAACCATTAACATTTGTTTTTAAGGAGATGTATGCTCCCCATTCGTCATTGTAAATCGTTGTGACTGGAAATATATATACTAAGCGTTATTAAAGAGAAATGTAAATAGAAGGTGACGTACCTGGTCTGACGTAATGTTGTATAACTGGTAACAGTGTGGCAGCATCACGACGATTTACAGCGACAGCAAAACATTCTCTGGTGTCTCTGTCAATACTACCGAATACCCACTGGTTTGGTATCACTCGCCCACGATTGTATTTTCTTTTCGTCCATGAACTTTCGTCGATTTCCACCACATGTCCAGCCCCATCAATCACTCCCGGATGCCTTAAAAAAAATCACAAAAGAAATTTCTTCAATCAACGATGGTAGACTCACTTGCTAAATTACAATGACGTCGAAGATGTTTATGGCTATCGAGGCCTTGTGACCAATAAAACATTAAATCGAGTAACTGTTGGATTGATAATCTCGACGCGGAAGAGAAGGTGCCATCACGAATAGATCGAGTTAACCTGCAACCTTTTGCACGACAACGCCATTGATATTCTAAAACATAACATAAAATGTAAACTGCCTTATGAGGTTATTAGTTGAAAATTACGAAAAAGCCCGTGTCAGAACTTTCCCTCACCCGTTAGTTTACGTATTATCGTTTTTCTCAAGGAAGTCTTTTTCGTTTAAATTCTGAATGTCCTTCAAATTACGGGTTAATAATAATTCGTTCTAACTGTGCTTTTGCATTAGATATATATATAAAAAAACTTTGTGGGTATAATGTACGTTATTGTTTATACGGATGATCTGTACGTAACGTAACTTTTGGGTCGATTTCATGACAACAAATCGCACATAGCATATTCATGAAGACTACTGATACCTTTGACATATAATTCCTTCGGTGTTTCTACATTATCATTCAACATATAGTTACTAACAAGATTTATTTTATGTAGAAATAAATTAAATTAGTTTGTTAATCGTCGTCATCTTCACCTGTATTAGTGGCAGTTGTGGAAGCTATCAAATAGCGTACATCTTCGTGGTAGCTGTCATCACTGTCGTCGGTGAATAAACTTAAGCTATCTGATCCAAAATTATCTGTCTTTTGATATCATTACTTGCATGTGTCATAAAGATAGTCATTGTAAGCTGCTGTCGTTGCTCGAGCCGTTGAGAAATGAAAGCTATGTGCAGCGTATAAAGAACAGAAGCATGCAGCAGCTTCTTCAATAAAGCTTGTTACGTTTCGAAACCTATTAAAATTCTATGTTAGGAAAAACAGCCTATTTCTGCCTATTTTCGCGGAAAGTTTAGAAAATTTATAACTAAGTTACAAGACAATCAAACTACATCAGACTATCAACATATACTTTGTTTTATTTACACTGTGTTATGATGTTCAGTATATTTCTATGATAAGTTCTATGGTTAAGAAACGGTTTTCTATAAATTCCTGAAAAACGGGCTTTTGAAAGTAATTTCGACAGCGTTTTGCTTATGAAAAAATACTTTGAAGTGTTAGCTATCGATCAATTAAAACCGTAAGTCTCTACCGCTTTTTTGTTTTCGAATTATTCATAAACACTGTTGCTTGGTATTTGAAATTGATAGTAAAATGCTTTTACTTGTACTTTAAAACTTTATTGATTGGAAGCAGTATACTTTTAATTATGTTGGTAAGCAACAGAATAGACCGAGCAACATCTTCAGGCTCGAGAACTTTTCCCATCATTTTCTTTCTTTTCTTCTTTGTAATTGTTCTTGATATAATCTGATGTTGTATGACCCAATAATTCCGTTTCAGCAACACCTAGTGCAATTGTAATGAAACGTACATCGAAAGGTGCCATTTCTTCCCGGATCTAATCCGTTATAGCATGAACAACAAACTTTGTTCCACAGTAAACCGTATGGTTTGGATATGTTTTTCGTCCTGCAACGGAACTGATATTAATGATCGTGCCGTGTTTCCGTTCTGTCATCGATGGTAACACAGTATGGATTCCATTTATAACGCCTATTACCTTCACTTGAAACATTTGTTTCCATTCTTTTGGATTTTGAGTATCGTCCTGACCCAAGAGCCACTTCAGCATTATTAACAAGGCAATCAACGGGTCCATATTTCTTTACAGCCTTATCAAATGTGAATTTCACTAGGCCGGTAACATCTACTTTTGCGCATATTGAGTTTGGTAAATTTAATGCTTCCAAACGATCAGGACGTCGTGCAAGTAGCAACAATGGATGTCCGGCATCCGAAAACGTTCGAGCTAGAGCTTCACCTAATCCAGAACTGGCACCAGTGATAGTAACGAACGGCTTAGTTTTTCAATGATGTGGTGGGCGACAATCTGAAATTATGAATTTTATGCGAGGACAGCTGGAGACACTTCTGAAAAAATCTTTCCCGAAATTGTTCTGAAACGACAGGCACGTAACGCAAATACATAAGGAAGTTTCGAAAGCGTTTTTGTGAACGCAAGGAACGTTAGCAGCGGATTAGAGTATTCCTTGCTTGACTTGGGTTAAGTTTCTAGTTGCTTGGGTTAGATGTAGAATTAAGTTCTGCATCGAACGGTGACATTTTAAATGGGGGTCATCGTCCGTCGTATCTACAGATTGGGGGCAAATATTGAGTTTTAACCTGTTTTTCCGCCAGTTTTTTGGAGTGTGTTGTGATCATCAGTCAGTCGTCTTGTAGGAGCGAGTAGCAATTTTGATTATTGAAACTATGCTTTTATATTACGTTTCAGATAAGATTAAACTAATATCCGTTTGGTTATGTGCAGAATCGTGAAATCTTCATATACATGCTAATGAAAATTGTGTCGAAAATTGACGATCGATGGATGGAACCATTTATTCATCAAAACAATTCTGTGCTTTACTATTGCTTTTGTTTAGCTTGATTAATCATTTCTGTTATGATTTAAATCGATCGATTGTAAATCAATATCAGTGTGTGAAGCTTTATGCTCACCCTGAGAGTGTCCCTGATATTAATCAATATCAATCTCTTTATTATTTGGCACAGGCTCCGCCGCCTGTGCCACAATATGTATATATGTACGTCATTCACACCGTCAACACAGCGGAATGCAAGACAGTACTATGTAGGTGCAGTTTTAATCCTTCTTTGCGAAAAGTGAATTTTCTGAAACGGGGTGACATCTTGAGAATTTTGTCATCTTAGACGAGTTTCTATGGCGTTCGCTGTTGCGGAGGTCACCAGAATCGGAAAACCTAAAACTAAACTTATTTGTGTGTTTGAACGATGTCTTTTCAAAGCCCAAAGTTTGGATTTCAAGGGTGGAGAATGTTCATAGAGGGAAATACCGACAACTGCCCGTAAAACTGATTTTTTTTCCTGGCCAAAAATCATATTTATTTGTCTGCAGACAGGGATTCCTGGTCGGCATGAAATTCTACGTACTCCTGTAAAACAGCGGATGACTTCCAAACGGCAAAAAACGCGCTTTATTGATTGTATAAGCTGTGAAAAACCCTTGCAAACTCAGAAGGTGACTACCGATTACCCATAGAAAAACGCGACAAAACAGTTGGAAAAAAATGCACGCAAAACGATTTTTTACAAAAAAACAACCGAAAATTGTCACTGGGTACCCTGAAAAATGCGAGTAGCTGCGCGAGGTCCGTTGGGCAAACAGTTGAAATCGCCGTGTTTTCGATAAAAACGCTTGAAAAAGGATGCTGTTTTTAGTAAAACGGAGGAAAACCTCGACATTGCATAAAACGCGCTTTTTGCCATTTGAAAGTCATCAGCTTCTTCCTGAATATAATGCCACATTTCTAACGTAAGTTTTGATAAACGAACAGATAAAATTTCGAAAAACAGAAGAAGAAAATGAAGATGAAGACGAAACAATGTAGAGGCTAATACCGAACCTTGAGGAGCACCAGAAAAAACGTCTATCACACGAGAAATGGCATCACCAAAATGAATCGACATAGTTCTTTTCTGTAAACAGTGGAATACAGGAAGAATTGAATAAATTGACTCGTATTCCGCACACCTCTCGGAAGGAGAAATACACAAAAGCCGACAATCATAATGATAAAAACCGAAACCCATCGGTGCAATGCGAGCGACACGTATAATAGACAATGACGTACTACGACCATTGTTCCATCATAAATTATTAAAACAAGAGCTGCTATCAAACAGAGACCGCCAAAGATGGGAATACTATGAATGGTCTACGAAAAATCTGTGCTGCTGCTAGTTAGAGTCAAAATCGAGATTTTTATTCCTTCTGTTGTTTGTTAATCATCTCTTTTTCCATTTCTTGTCGATAATAGAGTAGTTAGTTAGGTTTCTTTCTAATTAGTTTTACTTTTTTAGAGTTTAAACTGTGTTCTTCTTCCAGACTATGGTTAAATATTGTGAATCTTTCATATGAATCATATAATGTGTTTTCTTCCTAAAGTATCATCGGCATCTACTACACACCTACCAGCTCTGAAATTTTGTCAAAGCATTTCTTTGAATTTGTGCGTGTTTAGTTAGAGTTTTAGAAAGGAACAGAAGAGAACTTTGATCTCTCTCATTGTGCAGGTCGACCATAATGTAATATTTTTAACAGCATGAGCTTCACAGAAGGATATAAGTGACAGGCAGAAAAGAAGAGGTGAGGGTGAGGGTGAGACACGTGTAAATTTACCTCTTAAGGAAAGTATAGATGAACGATACAATGAGCTTACATTATACTAGATTACCTTTTCCTCTCTGATTTCAGTAGTTTTCTCATATGTACTGATGTTAATGTGCTCGATCACCATTTACTTTTTGAAAGTTAGTGTGGAAAAAGAGAGAGAGTACAGAGAGACATTTTTCGCGATAATATCTAGGTCAGGAAATTAAAAATAAAATTTGGATTTCATTTTTTGAGGTCAAAATTTAATTTTTGAAATTTTAAGTTGATATTCGAAATTAGCTTCAAAAACTACGTTAAACGATGTGCTTCACAAATTCTTAAAGTTACAAAAAAAGTTTCGAACCATCTTAAGTGAAGGTGACCGTTAGCTGGACCGGCCGTTATGTCAAATTCGATTATGCGCTCAGAACTACTCTTTTTGTAGCACAAAAGCACGTAAATGGTCTTCAAAAACTAAACAAACTAACTTTTCGATTGAACATGGATGATACTTTAATCTGGAATAAGCACATAGTTGCCATTTCTATAAATTGTGTTGGAGGCGGACGTGAGTGTCAAAATAAAGCAAAGAATTTAGCTCCCGTCGGTCTTTTTAAAGTACAAAAAGAAAATACCGAATTATTAGAAAAAAGTCTTCCGCTAGAGTTCATCGATGATATACGTTCAGTTAAACGTATACGTTACAAATTAAGAGACCTTGATGTAAAACTTAAGCTAGGAGGTGATTTAATGAATGCAGTTTATGTCTTTGGTCTAGCTGGATTTGCTGCAAATTATCCCTGCGTATTTTGCACTCATCATATAGGTGATCTTCATATAACTCAAGAAACTGCTTATCATAAATCTGTCACAGAAGGCAGCGGCAAAAATAAAGTGACAAAAACAGTTAGAAATAACAGATCGTATCATGATGTAAGTAAATTAGCGCGTTCGCTAGACGAACAAAAAGAGTGTTTGAAGAACGGAAAAATCAACGATTTCGAATATAAGTGTGAACCACTATTTGGTGATCTGTTTACTTACAAAGATTATGTTCTCGATACGCTGCATATGAAATTGAGAATTTTAGACGTAAAATAGAAGGTGAAAGGTAGATTCCTGGTTCTATAACGTTTTCCAGTGTAAAGTGCTCGTAAGGCAAACTTACAGTGACATTCTTTTTTTGACTCTATTATACATATTCTGAATTGCCAGGTCGAGCTGATCACGAATATCACCTTTTTAGCTCGAAAAAATTAAATCTTCACAGAGAA